TATAAATGATATTTGAAAGAACAAGATCAAGAATATTATTTTCTCGAGTGGGCTCCGGTACATATTGGGCTCCGGTACATATTGATTATTTACCAAAGTTAAAAAAAGAATATGACATTTCTCAATTGGCGAAACGTAGTTAACCCAATCAATTTTCGGTAAGTTGAAATCTCCAACAATAACAAATTGAGGAACAGATTCACAGAGGTTGCTAATTATCAAAATCATTGATTCAAGATAGATATAATCATAAAGAGAATAGGACAGTGGACGGTAACAAGTAATTAAGCGGAGTTTACTAGACCCAAAAATTAAATCAACACAAATGATGTCAATATCTGTGTCAGTTTGAGTAACACTTACTATGGCAGATTTAACTTCATTTCTGCAGTATATAGCTACACCACCGCCAATTCGTACCCGGTCTTTACGATAAATGGAATAATTTTTTGGACAGACCATAGAGTTTGGGAATTTAAAAAACGTTTCGCAAACACAAATTAAGGCAGGTTTGTATGACTCAAAATATAAAAAAAAATCATAAAGTTTGTTGGCAAGACTTCTTGCGTTAAAAAGATAAACTGTAAAATTGTTGACTGAATTTATGGTTAAGTGATTGTATGAGTTTATAAAGTTGCTCCGATAACCTTTTTAATACTTCTGTTGTTTACAGCAGCGATACGTTGTTTACTAATGTTTGAGGCATGATTTTTTTGTAATGACTTCGGAATAACTAAAGAAGTTAATGAGCCGTGACTGAAATATTTTTGGTTTTTGCAATTAAAAAATGATTGATATTTGTTAATTTTTATCAATGATATATTAAAAATAACTAGATGTCTAACTTCCGCGTATTTTTTGAAGCAAAAATAGTAAATCACGGTTGTTTGGATCCAATAATGTTCGATATTTAATATTCATAATTTATAAATCATGGTTAATTCCTGTGCTGCAGCAGGTTGCACAAATAGAGCAATGAAAAACGCCGGAGGTGTATTTGATTCACGGGGTTAGGGGAGGGTGGCATTTCTTAGTTAAATTCTATTAAAAAACGGCTAAAATAAATCATCGTTTTAATCACACGTGAATCAAATACACCTCCGCCTGAAAAACGACTACAGAGCATTTCATAAATTTCCAATTAATAATAGAGAGCTCTGTAAAAAGTGAATTGTTGCTATAAAACGTAAAACATTTATTCCTACTGAGCACAGCCGCATATGCAGTGATCACTTTTTACCTTCAGATTACAATATACCTGATTTTAATAACAAACCTAAATTAAAACCTTTTGCTGTGCCATCTATTTTTATTGATTCCAAACCAAAAGTCAAAAGAAAGTTTAATTCTATATCGCCACAAACAAATAAAAAGAGACTCATTAAAAAAGTTTCAGAAACAGGCAGTCTCCATCACATCGATTTCCAATCGGATATAAGTGATAACAATAATGTTGCTGCTTATAGAAACGAAGTTAGAGAGTATTGATTGCCAGGTGGATATAAATAGTACCTTTAATATTATCAAAAGATGTTTTAAGTTATATTAGTATAAAGAGACTGACATTAATTATAAAGAGACTGACATTAATTATAAAGATTGTGCATTAAATATAGATGCAATGGCAATCAAAACATCAGTTCTAAATGATTAAAAGACAGGTCGATTCATTGGCTTTACACATTATGGAAAATATATTGTTGCAATAGAACCAGACCACCAGCTACAGAAGCATTGGTATTTATGCTGGTAGGATTACAAGGTCATTGGAAAACACCTAATGGCTATATACTGTGTAGTAAAATAACAGTTGAAAATCTTTATTGTCTTATTAAAAAAGCATTAACAATTTTTCTTATAAAAAAATTAATGTACGTAGCATTACATTTGATGTTGTAAATGTTAACTTTAATTCTGTTAAATCACTAGGATGTACATTTGGGAAAAGATTAGAAAAAATTAATGGAATACAAGAAGAGGAAGGTTTGAAATTTGCAAATAAAATCTCAATAAAACATTTATTTCCAGCGTTATAAAATGAATGTTAAGTTTGCTGCACAAACACTTAGTAGTTCAGTTGCAGATGCAATTGAGTTTCTGATGTTTTCAAAACATCCAAATTTCAAGCATGCTGAAGGAACTATAAATTTTATAAGGGTCATTGACAAATTATTTAATATGCTGAACTCTAAAAACTTTTTTCCAAAATCATATAAGAAAGCTCTTTTCTTAAATGATTATCCTTATTGGAATTCAACTTTTGATCAAATAATAAACTACTTATCAAAGTTGAGAGATGCTAATGGTACTCCATTATAAAAACATAGGAGAAAAACTTTTGTATTAGGGTTAATTGTGGCTGCAAAAAGCCTTCAACACTTAGCCTATGAGCTTTTGACTTTAAATGTTCATCTTTTAAATTTTGCCTAACATACAAATTTTCACAAGATCATCTTGAGTTATTGTTCTCTTGTATACGTGGAATAAATGGATTTAATAA